GCACAAAAATAGTTTGAATGTCGGCGGCATTTCCCCACAATAAAATTCCGTACGACATTACACTATGGAAATAACTAAAGTACACTAATCTGGCCGTATCTACATCCGTTAACTGGCGTATCTTCATTACGGCATATGCTGCAGAGCTAAGTCTATTTGACAATTTATCAATATGTGGGCCCCATCGAAGCTAAGAATCTAAAGTTATCCCTAAGAATACTGTGGTGTCTACAAGGCCCACATTCCTATCCTTTACATTCACACTGGTTTTTACCTGTTTTACATTAGGTAATACAAATTTCATACATTTCGTTTTTCCTTCATTAAGTAATAAATTGTTAACATTAAACCAGTGGACTACCTTAGAGATACAATTGTTCACGTCGTCAATAACTTTTTCATTGCGTTTGAGTTTAAATCAAAGTGATGTATCATCCGCAAACAATACTATCTCATGGTTATCTCTTACATAGTAAGGTAAATCATTAATATAAATTAAAAATAAGAAAGGACCCAGGATTGAGCCCTGCGGAACACCCATCTTAACCGGCGAACCCGGAGACTTATTACCATTAATGTCAACCCTCTGAATCCTATCCCTCAGGTATGATGCAATAAGATCCAGATCAGTATCTCTAAATCCATAGTGGTGGAGTTTCCTGAGTAATGTTTCATGAAAAACGCAATCAAAAGCCTTGGACAAGTCACAAAACACACCTAGAGCGTCCTGCGAGTTCTCCCAGGCGTCAAAAATTTGTTGTATAAGTTCAACACCGGCATCGGTTGTTGAACGACCCCGTGTAAAACCAAATTGTTTACAGTGAAGTATATTATATTTATTAAAATGTGATTGCATTTGATCTAACATGATTTTTTCAAAAAATTTACTAAAGGTGGGTAGTACAGAAATTGGTCTAAAGTTTGTTGTTGTGTTGTTTTTGGGGTCTGATGTACTTCCCATTTTATGCAAAGGAGTAATTTTACTGTATTTCATGAGGTCAGGAAAAACACCACAGTCAACACAATCATTAAATATGCAAGCTAGAATAGGAGCTATTGTCTCAATTACCGATTTAGAAACACCTAGCCCCTAGCCCCACAGATCCGCGGTTTTCTTTTTATTTAATTGGTGAAACGTTTTTATTACATCTTTAAAGTCAACATGTTTAAAATGAAAATAACTAGTACAAGGTTTCACGTTTTCTCTTAAGATTGATTCGGCAGCAATGGGGGAAGAGTTCAAAGATTTCGTAGTTGAAACTGGAATATCAGTAAAGAAATTTTCAAACACTTTAGCAACTTCAATATCTGATGTAACCTTTTTATTATCAATATTTAGGTTATAATTATTTTTGCGAGTTTTGGATTTTCCAGTTTCATTGTTTATAATATTCCATGTCATTTTGATTTTGTCATTACTGTTCTTAATCTTTGAACTTAAGTAATTTGATTTTGCTAAGCGGCATACTTTTTTAAACAATTTGGAATAGTTACGAACATGCTCTTTAAATTTTTCACTAGTGTTAGAGTTTCGTTCATTATAAAGTTCATAAAGTGTTCTTCTACTTTTATGAATTCCAGGCGTAGTCCACTTACTAAAATTTACCGCATCATTAACACATATTTTTTTGGGTACAAAAACATTATTAAATTCATCGCAATATATATTTAAAAAATCATTTTATAAATCATTTGGACTGTCTTTGTATTTAAGATAACACAATTTTCTATCTAATTCATTTTTAAAACGTTCCACACGATTAGCAGTTTTTGGTATAACAGTGATGTGTTTTTTCGTCACCTGCTTGAGCTGATACGGAAATGTAATCAACTGGCCACAATGATCACTATCTAGTTTATTAATAATTTGTTTTTTCTGTGGTATAATATCTGTATATATATTATCAATACAAGTGGCCGAAGTGGCAGCTATTCTAGTAGACTCAATGAATAAGTTTTTCAGATTGTATGATTGAAATATTTTTTTTATTTTAGTACATGAACTAGATTTTTCTAATAAATCAATATTAAAGTCACCACAGACAATCAACCGTTTGCCTGTAGTGTATGTTTTTTTAAGAGCTTCATCCATGATAACTTCAAAACAATCATACAATGCTGATGGAGGTCTGTATACGCTCAATACAACAAGCTGGTCCAGTTCCACACAGGCAATTTCTATTGTTCGCTCAACCGAGAGGCTCACAATATCTCTTCGTTCCTTAAATTTTAGTTTTTTATTCAATAATATTAAAGAGCCACCTCGAATTGCATTTTCTCGATTGAACGAACTACCAACCTGATGATTATTAAAATTAAATATATTTTGATAAATTTTTAGCCTGTGCTCTGTAATACAAAAAATATCTATATTATTACAATTCATAAATAATTCAATTTCTAAGTCCTTACCCATCATTCCTTGAATATTAAGATGCACCAGGTTGATAAAACTTACATTTTTTGCAATGTTTTTGGATGGGTTTTTTTATCTATATTAACAAAATTGTATTTTTTATTTACATTATTATTTAACAATATGCAAGACGAATTATCTTTTGTCTGATTGCTTAATTTAAACATTTATTATTATTTTGAGTGGTTTCAGTAGAATAATTACTGATTGTCATGTCATTAGAAGGTTGCTCAATAGGAGCAAGTTGTTTAGCCAAATTCTTGGCTGACATAAAAAAGAAATATGATAGCGACTTAGCTAGCTGTCTTTTATTATAATTAGAAAGATAATATTTATCTTTTGTCAAATAAAAATTTCTAACATAATTGTCAATCAAATGGTATTTTTTGCTTTTACAAATTGTGTACAAAAGCATATTTAATTTATATCTTAACAAATTTTCCTCTTTGGGCAGACTGTTGCAGTAAGGCAATGTGAACAATACAATTTTTTCCACATTTAATGTATTTAAATCTGTTATATATTTTAATAATATTTTTTTGTTCAAATTGCCTCTGTTTCCTACAAAAAATAACAAGGTGTGACATTTGCTGTAGCTATGCTTACTTGCCTTTTCTAAAATATCCTTATAAGAGGTACCAGGCATACAGTTATTTGTAATTGAATGTCCCATTTTAGATAAAAGAGGGCCCATATTCTTCCCAATTTCATCACTAAACATTATAACCTTGTTATTTTTATTATCTAAAGATGTGTTTCTTGAGTGAGTTACTTTCACCGGTGTCAAGTGTGTACTTATTGGCTGAAGTTGGGAATCAATAGATATAGACTTATGTTGTAAAGTGTAGGAGTCAAAATTGAGCGATGATTGAGTTCCCAACTGTTTATAATCACAAGTGTGATTGTTTGTTAATGAATGAAATCTTTCATTATTGTAATTGCATAAATCAATTAACTCATTCATGGCCTGCATGTGTTCCTTCATTTCACATTGTGCTAATTCATATTTTTTGGTTGCATTTGAGAGACAATCTTGTAGTTTATCTATTTTACTTTGTAAAATTTGAGTGTCTGTTTCATATTTTAAACTAATGTTATTATATTTTGCAGAATAAATGTCCAATTCATCAATTAATTGTAATCTCTCCCTGTTGATATTAACATTTTTTATAAATAACTTTTGTTTTTTAATTAACTTTTGAGTTTTTTTAAAATATCTATTAATTTTTACATATTTCTTTAATTTGTTCCTGTTACATCCAACAACCCCCAATTTGTTATTTCTACTGTCATTACAAGTAAGATCTATTGTAACAATTTGTTGGTTATTGGTTGGCACAGAAACCATCTCTGGCGCACTGACTACCAACTCATCAAACAAGCTCCGATTCAACGAGACAGTTTTATTGTGTTTTGACATTTCTAATAGTGATATTGTGTTTTTTGCGTCATGTAGTTGCTTTTCCAAGATGTGAATACGCTGTAATGCTTGGTCATATTCACTTCTACATTGATCAAAGCCATCTACGATGAACTGGAGCCTGTCCCGAGCTTCAATAGTATCAATACACTGTTTGTGCAGTTCTGCCATTTCGCTCTTTAACTTTTGATTTTTATCTAAAATTTCTATTAATTCCCTCTCATTGTCATCCCGTTCCTTGTGTAGTTGGTCGCATAAATCCTTAGAGGCTTTGAGTTCTCTCAAAGTCAGTTGAAGTTTAGACTCCTCCTGACGAGACAGAGCCTTACGAGTCATCATTTTTATATATTAACGATATTATCTTAGATTAATTTGAATGAATGTAAGTTTTTAAATACAACAGGACTTATTTAACCAACAATAGCAAGGTTATGTAGGTATTTTATAAAAAAATAATTGCCAATGTTTTTAACTATTTGATGCTTTACACACTTTATTGATATAGAATAAAGTAATAGTCAAGGTAATTTGTAAAAATAACTTACTGGAATTATGAAAATATCTTGGAAACAGATGACAATGACTCACAATAAAGCCGGTAAATGTCACAGTACGTTTTTAAGTAATTTCACTCACTTTACAATCGTTTTTATATATTAACACTTAGTTATTAATCATTATTTAATGATATTATTGGTTTAAGAGCACAATTAATAAGATTTATTATATAAATTATATATTATATTATTTTTACATTTAGTTCCATTTTAAATATTGAAGTAACTTTTTTGTATAATATTTATTGTATCCCTCTTACGTCTATTTTAGTGTAAAAGGCATACATATACTCGTACATAAAACCTAATGGAATTTTAGAAGCCCATCCAATCATTGCCATTATGGGTTACCTACAATACGAAGATATAGCGCTGATTTGCAGTCTAAGAAATACTAGAAAAAAATCGACACAGGCCGTTACGGCCGCTGTAGCGTAATGGTCAGTGCATCCGCCCGGATAGCGGAGGGTGCGATGCAAGTTCGAGTCCCGCCTGCTGCTTGTTTCGCGTGGTTTTTGTTTTTTGGATAGAATTTTCTTCATTTTGAAACATCTAGCAATTGAATGTTTAAAAATATTTAAAATTTAGTAGGTAGTACTAAACTTACTAGCAGCAACTGTTGTGTCAGTAGCAGACCGCGACCGATCCCTCACCAAGGCAGCATACATGTACAAAAGGAACACCATACTGCCGATATAGAGGTACAAGTAGAAACCCTGTCAACAACCAAAAAAAAGGTTAGGAACAAATGATTTTATATTGTAATAAAGAAGAGTCGTTGTAAAAAAGAGGAATTAGTTTATTAGAAGCTAACTTATTTTTCCGTTGCTTAGATAGAAAAAGAGAAGTTTGATTACGTGGCCAAACAAAAATTTTGCTGGACTTAAAATTTCTTATTAAATATTAGAATATGTTTTACCACAATTTACCAAAGCATTGAACAAAACGTTTCAATAAAAAAGTTGGTGTGACACTTATATTGGATAACTTTTAAAAGTGCTTAGAATATAATTACATTTTATTAAAGCAATATACTTTAAGGCCCACTTGCAGGAATTTTTGCTAAATCTCGATTTAACTAAAACTTGTTTGAATCCATATCAAAATGTCAAAATTGTACATCTAGATTTAACATTCTTGCATTGGTTTAATCTAATTTAATACATTCACAATTTCACCTACTGATAGGAATACTTATAGTTAAACACTACATACTTTAATGGATTAAATTATATTATTAAGGATGTGTTCCATTCGCTATCTTTTCGCAACGTACAACAATAATTAATTACCTTACCTTAGTATACCTAAATTAAGTGTAAATCCACTGCAGTAGCGAATATGGCGGAAGCGACATAGTGCCGCTCTAGTACCCTATGAATTATAAATAAAATAGAATACGAACTGGTCTAAAAAGTGGTTCCACGCAAACTGTGATCAAATATCGAAGATGGGGAGGGCGAAAAAAATGCATTCAACATACCGACCATGGGATTCGTTGGGATTTCCGATTAACATTATCTTACCCAATGAATGGATAGCCGCATTCATTTGCAGACATTTGATTTGTCTAAGTATTTTGTTTTATCTGTGCCCGTGTCTTATTAGTATTGAAGTTTAGCTGTATGAGTTTGGAACCCTGGTTTAGCGGCCTTTGTGAGAGAGTAATGCTTCCATATCATTTCTAATTCGTTGCCTTTACCCCATGAAGTCCTGGCATATTACTCATCAACGAAAGCACAGCGAACACACTTATCAAAGGAGAAGTTTATTTTACTGTGTTCGTCTGTACAGTGAAGATTAGGTACTTCGCCCGCCAGATTGCTGCGCCCCAATCTAACTGTGAACTCCGTTTAACTCAACTAAAAAAAGGTTAAAGGCAAGGCAAACTTTTTTGTAGGCTGAACTAGTTATCATAACTAACTTACCTCGTAGAAAGACGGTGGTATGTACGTAGATATAACTTCAGCCATTGGGAACGCTACACCCATCACTACCAATAGCTTTCCGTAAAGTGCGGAGAGTGTAGTCGCAAGTACGTCGCTCCTGTGGACAAAATACAACGGTTTGAAGCGATTTCTGAAATTATTTAGGAAAATATTCGACTTCAAAACAGCAAATTTACATGTTTTCGGGATACGACTCAAACGCTTCACATCGTCGACTTATGGACGTAACATAATCTTTCCCGGTGGGTAGACTTATCACAAGATTTGCTGCCACAATATTTTGCCGAACTAAAATAACAACCGTTGCCTTAGTAACTAAACTAGTGTAATCGTTGGATAACGAGTAGGTTTAATGGAGATTTAGTTCTCAACTTCAAGCAGCTCCTAAAGTTGAATTTGTCATTGACGTATTAGGAAAGAACAAAGCGCCCGCCTTGGAAGTAACCTCCATCTTACCACAGTGAAATTATACAACTTTTTGGTGCTGTTGTATTTCTGTACGCGAGTTTGGTTTCTTGGACTCTACGGGGTATATGATTGAATCCAGACCGGCAAGATGGTGATAAACTAACGAAGAGTAGTACAGGCATGTACCAATAATAATCTTCGTTCTTTCATTTAATTTCTAACTTTTCCTAGTTTTGATATAAGTATTAACATATTCTTGTTAAGATTCTTGTATAATAAAAACGAGCTACAGTAATATAGTAGAGACACCCGCTATTACTCAAATCCTTAAAGATAAGGATTTGCGAAAGTGCCCGGTGATGTTCTTTAAAAGGCTTAGCCGTCGTTAGTATAAAAGCGACTGAGCTAAGATGTATATGCTAATTTTTAAAAGGTCTGAGGTAAGATCCCAAGTATTAAATCGGTTGCTTTCAAGCAAGAGGACAACGTTGCAAACTCGACGAAGCAATCTCTTGGTGAACATAAATAGTATGCATTTTGCTATTCATTTGGAATTTCGTTGATTTTCAAACGTATCCTTATTTCATATTGGTGTAGAAAATATGCAAATTTTTACCGATTTCAAATCAAAGCAAAAGGTTCTTAATGCGGTTCTATGTTTAAAAGACCCTGTGTAACTTATATACCGAATATGATTTTTTTTTCGAATACGAATTTAGCTATGTACGAAATTATCTCGTCTCAGCCGATTTAATTGTTATATTTTTGGTTCTGTTCGTGATAATTTGTCAGGGCAAATTTTCTTTTGGTAAAACGGCGACCAAGGACCGATCCACTACCTAATTCGTAAGCAGGCCAAAGCTTTGCATGTCGCTAATTTATTATATACAACTATGAAAGAAAGACTACTCAATAAAAATATTGATACATTAATTGATTGATACAAAATAACACTCTAAACCCTAACAAAACCGCAAATAATAATAGTCGTCGATCTAAGTTCACCTCTCTACATGAATGGCAACAAAGTGTCGGAAATCCGATGCAGAGATAGTGGATGCTGCTAATTGAAACAAAGGAATTCACAGTGGGCATTATTCCAGCAGATTAACGGGCTCTGTAAGGCCGTGACACCAACACTGGATTCAGTGTATCCATATTTATGCCGCCGAGTTAACTGGATTTAACGCTACTCAAGATTTCCTGTTGAGTGTCGAAAACGCTTGACCTGTTTCGCCAGTCTCGAAGGTTAGTGGATTCTAGATAATAACTGTTTGCCTGTTTCGTGTACGATATCGGCATTCGCGAATTATGATATTGAACGAAACAAAGGATTTAGTTTTCAACTGGTCGTCCGATTAGTTAACTGTTTGGATGACTTCACCATACTTAAAAAAAGAAACAAATAAGTTATATACTAATGTAAAATAAGTTATAAACGCGAAGTGGTGCATTATTTGTTGATTATTGTGTATATTGCAGACTAGTGGCCCGCCCTCGCTTCGCTTCGGGGTAGAATTGATCAAAATTCTTTCTTAGCGGATGCCTACGTCATAACATCTACCTGCATGCCAAATATCAGCCCGTCAGTTTTTGTTTTCAGGCTTGTATTATACACAATGACATTAATCTATGATTCTTCTTATACCTGCAAGCAAAGTCTCAGCCCGATCGGTTTAAAATTGACAAAGTTTCATCCAAATTTTCATTCCATATTTTATCCCCTTGGGGGTAGAATTGATCAAAATCCTTTCTTAGCGGATGCCTGCATCATAACATTTACCTGCATGCCAAATTTCAGCCCGATCCGTCCAGTGGTTTGGGCTGTGCGTTGATAGGTCACTATGTCAGTCAGTCACCTTTGAGTTTTATATATATAGATAGTTTTACACTGAAAATATAATGATGATGTATTTTACTGTTGTTGTCCTACTAACTATGTATTAGAATTAGTTCCTTTTTCACAATCAGTAAAGTTTGAAGTAACTTAAAGGTGCCTTCAGAATTCACTGCACTATTGCACTTAATGTATAGCGCATATAGCAAGCCCATGCAATAAACATAGCATAGAGTGGTGTGAACCTGTTCTAAGTTAATGTATGGTGATTGATATCGTGCCATGAGTTATAAGCTATATTTTTTTATATTAAAACGTAGTTAAACGCACCTTTATGTGCGAGTAACGAGCTAACTTAGAACTTTACTCATCAATTGTGAAACAGGCCCTTAGTCTATTATAGTCCTCAGTACTGGTGGCGGTAGGCTTTCTTTATGAAAGAGTCGCATAGGAAAAACGAGACACAGGCTACTAAGCTAATCCATCGTGGATTGCTGGATATTAGATGCAGCCGACACCAATAGCTTACGCGGTGCCATCGGAACAGATAGAATGATTAAAATATTGATTATCAACTGATGATCGCCCAGCGCGAATGTAACATCGACAACTGCTGTGCCATGGAGCTTCTAGAAATATGAATCTATGATTTACAATTATTGGATTTGTTGGAGATTGCAACAGTTACCTATAGAACCTACATATTGATGTAGGTACGATAGGTAACTGTTGCAATTTTGAACGGACTGAAATTTTCATATCCTCCCAATTTCACGGTCTACACGAGGGTTAAAGACAAAGGCGCAAGGAATCCAATAAAGAAAGTCGAGGTGCCGAATTTCCCAAAGGTACCCGCATGAGCCTGGGAACAAATAGCTATGCTTCCTTGTGTAGTTTTTCAGTTTCAAACTTGTAGGCCCTTCTTTATTTCCTGAAGAGAAAGTTGCTGCCTCTGCTAAACTTTCGATTTTGCAAAAAAGAGATGTCTTGTTTATTTTGTTTTTCAATTTTAAACTTAACCAGTTTTATACCTAGTTATATTTGTTAAGCACGTACTGCTACATGTTTAAATCTAAAGCTTACATAGTTAATAGACGTCTACACTTTATAATTCTGAACTTACATGAAATTTCCGTCTCATTTAATTTCGGAAAGTCCTGTTAATAACAGTCTCGACAAACATCAGCAGACCTCATTACAGTAATTACAAAATTATTCATCACGCTCGCACCAAGTCTTAATTAACAGTCGCCGTGCTTTCAACACAGCGTATTTTTAATATTTGGCCATTAATTTTGTACAAAGTAATAATTCACATCCGTTCGGGGTGGATTTTCAATTTTAAATGCTTACCATTGCGCGTTGATTGGTAAACCACCGTATTGATGACACTCAGCTGATGATTATTTTTAATTTTAACCGACGACATCACAGCTGATGACAAAAATTTGTCTCGTCTTAGAAAAACAGTTATCAAAAGTTCTGTTGGACCATTTTATTCATACTATTTTTAACTTTAAATTAATTGAATAAAAACCAACAGCACTTTTAATAACACAAAGATATAATATAATTAAATGCAATTTTTGTCTTCCAAATGCTAGATATTACTTTATCCTATGAAATTGCTGTTTTTTCATGAAATAAATTAACTGCCATTTTTCCTATATTTTTTATTTTTATTAATCAAATGCTTTTTTTCCAACATACGAGTAGTGAGCTTATTAAAGCCCTATTAGAAAAAAAACTGCTTGGACCGGAAGCAACAAATTCTTCAAAGGCATTTTGAACTGCCTCTTTATTGAATTTTTTCACCGCTATGAAGTTATTCAAATTCTTTAAAAAGTATAAGTCTGTAGATGCAAGTTTCTGATGTAGAGTACGGTGGATGACGGAGAACTTCCAACCCCAGCTTTTGTAATTTGGAGACTCTCTGTTGTGCAGTATGAGGTCACGCGTTGTTGTGTCGGAGCAGCGGAGCTGAACGATTGACCAAAGTTGGTTGGAGATATGGCAGCTTCTCCATCATTGTGTTCAGTTCTTCACAGTACACATCTGCAGCAATGCTCATCCTGTTTGGTAAGATACTATGATGAATGACCGGCGCTAGATGACCAAACAGTGACCATCACTTTTTAGAGGTCAGTTATCGATTGGTGCATTGTTTAGGTGCTGAACCAGGATCTAATGAACATGCTAAGCACTTGCGATTGTCGAACAGAATCCATTTTTTGCAAGCAAGAATTCGATTTAATATGCCTTCGTTTGTGTGTCTGATAAGCATTGCAAGGCTTGACTCGTACAATACTCGTATTCTATATCACTCGAAAATAAATTTATAAATAAAATACTGAACACAATATTTTATTAATATTCTTTGATGACAATTCTTCAATATTCAGTAGATAACAGACCTCTACGAATAGCAATTTTTTGAAAAAACAAAGTTTGATAGTCGCCCGTTGGTAGAGACTACGAAAAGGCAGCCATTTTATTGAAGTCAATAAGGAATAGGTGTTTTTATACATGCTATTTTCTAACTTAATGATAAATTTTTTCGCAATATGCAGTGGCATATATGATAATTGTATTTAAGCTGAGTTTTACCTAAAATTACACAAAATAGAAAAGTTTTGGTGTGCCATTATTTGATATAATTTCTAGTATGAGAGAACAATCATTGGTACCTATGTTTAAAATTACTGCATACAAAAAGTCCGCCGAGCAACCGAGGACACCGAGAGAGAACGGAAAAAAGTCCCCGAAAAAAAAAAACTCATGTGACTAGGCGCAGCAACGCACACAGCGAACTTTAGTCGGCGTTGTGTGCTCGATCTGATTGAAAGAGATGG